TAATGTTATAATTTTTTTTTAATTTTTATTTAATTATTTTTTGAACACGCAAAATTTATTTTTATAAGGAATTCTAGAACTTTGATTACTGGCCGCATAAAGGCGAGTTTCTGAATCTATAAACCGGAACTATGTGAGTCACTTAATGAAATTTTTAGACAGTAACGGAGTGGGTTATAATCCAATAATCTTTGTAAAAAGCTGCAAGTTCCTTTTTAAGTAAATATGTATGCATATTTCTGAGACCCCAACTTCTTAATATACTGACTCTCAAAATACAATAAATTTAAGTCACAGCTCATAATTAAAATAATAAGCAAAAGTCAAATGCATCCGCGTATTTCCATCTTCATTTAGCACAGAGGTGTTGATAGCTTTCGGTAATTTAAGAGCGCTATTTCCTAGATATTTAAAGATATTTCATTAAATATTAAAAAGTGCTGTAAGTAGACACACACATATACACATACAAATGTATACAAAATAATTTAATTCAATGAATCACTGCTGACCCAACAAAAATAGCTTGATATGCATGCAGTGTGTGAATGTGGAATCTCTGCAACATACAGCAACAAAAAGCACAAACAACACAGCAGCGGCAACGGTAAAAAAACGAGGAAGCCAACACACACACATAAATATATATAAATACAATACATACAACGCGAATGGAAATATACAGAGAAAAAGAAAAGAAAAACACCAACAATGCACATGGCACAACTGCAGGAGCCCAAAAGTTCTATGACCTAAAGCTCCATTCGGCGTTGGTGACAGCGAACAGAAGAGCAAAACAACAGGCCAAACGCGGGCATAAGCACAGATACAGGCATAAAAAGAAATGCACAAATACAAACATACAAAAAAACATACTTATCTACATACTAGATATTGAGTTTCATACATATTTTTTTATATATATGTATGTATGTATATTTGTACGTAGTTAAATGTATGTACATATGTAAAAATATATGTATATAGCGCAAGTATAGATACATATGTATGAATGTATGTATGAACGTACAGTATATACTAAATGTTTCGAATATGTAAGTGAGGTATCCAAAGGCGGCCAGAATACCGGTATCTAACCGAATATAAACATGTTTACACTGTTGTCTAACAAGCACTTTACATATACACAAACATATCTATGTATGTAAGTATATAACAGAAAAATATGTTCATACATACATAAGTATGTATGCGCATACTTGTTGGTAAGTGCGATTGGCACGCTACCACCAGCTGGAGCTGGAGTGCCGTGGAATGGGTGGAATACGTCACCATGATTTAAGCCGCCAGCGAACGCCGAATGGCGCACAGCAATTCAAGCGACTCTGGGGCAGCCAACTGAACTGAATAATCATAGAAGCAGCGCTATACAGTTATTTCTTTAAATGTCTGCAAATACCATACATATACATACATATGCGTATATATATATATGTGTGTGTATGCGCAACGCCATCGTCAGCATGTTACAGTTACAACAGCGCGCCGCTAGAACATCATCACTAACAGAAGCAGAAGTAACAGTAATAACAACAATCGACCTAACGAATCATAACATTACATTAACGCGACACGAACGAAGCTAACAGTGCAGTCGACTGCGCTGCTAATTGCTGCCAGCAGCGCTGCTCGGAAATTGTGCCAACAGCAATTGTCGGAGAAATTGACTACGTTGCGCGACTAACTGCAAATGGAATGATTATAATGTGGAATATAAAAATATAACTATGCACCAAAGTGCATATGCATGTATGTATGCACACATATATGTATGTGTAAGTATGCCTCTGTACGTTTGTGTGCGCAGAAGATAGGCTTAAAACTGGCAAACAGCATAAAAAATATAATGAAATTATTTATACACATGCAACCGCCAACAGCGGCAGTCTGCAGCAGCAAGCAGGCGGCCTACAAGTCCCAAAAACGCCTAACGGCAAATCCCAAATAAGTGAAAAAAAGCGCAGCCAACTGCAGGCCCCACGGCAATCACAGTGATATTCACCGGTAAATTGCATGCGACATGCCTCGTTACATACATATGTCAACTCTGTATTGTACAAATGTATGCAATTTGGTGGAAATTTTGCGGACAGAAGCTGGATACGGTTGTTTTGGGCCGCACACGCAGATTCAATTAGGCGCTGATTTGGCGGTGCAAAGTCAAATATTAATAGCTCATTGTCACCAGAATTTGTGGTAAATAATTTAGATGCATACAAACGTACATACATTTTGCAAAGCATAAAAGGGTATAAAATGGTCCTTTTTTTGATTTGGTTCAGTCAGTTTCAATGCCACTTACTGATATACCTGTCCGATTTGAACAATTTCTTTGGAGAGTGTAGCATTGCCTGTGGCAAATTTCGAGATAATATCTTTTCAAAAATGAAATAGCTATCCATACAAGATTTTGCTTCAGATCGTTCAGTTTGTATGACAGCTATAGGCTATAGTGATCCAATATCTGCGGTTTCGACAAATGAGCAACC